AGCAGCTGGCAACAGTGAGAAAGAGCCCTGTGGCTCTGCTGCCATGGGAGAGACAGAAACAGAGTTTTAAAGCTCTCTTTTTTAACCAGAAGCACTGGCTGCTCCAGGGCTGCGAGTGCAACCTGCCAGTGTAGAAGTTACAAACCCCAAAACGACTGGTGACCCAAAAGAGGGGTGGTTTCTGGTGTCCTGTTCCTTCCCCCCTCCACACACACACCTCAGAGGATCTTCCCACAGCACATCAATGCAATTTAAGTTTAAACACAGCATTTCTGACCAGGAATGCAACACCCAGTGGCTCCTCCCTCCTTCCCACAGTCACCTCATTTTAATAGTGTTAAATGGATTACTAGAGACAACCTTAATTATTGCAGTATTTGCAAGGGAAGAAGTGATCTCTCAGTAACCAGTTTCTGTCCCTTTGCAGATCAGAACGAGTTTCATAGCAAACCTGGGAGTAAAATGGCATCAGAGGTTCAGCCCCAAAGTGCTTCAGCAGAAACACCAACAGCTGAACAGGTACAAGTGTGTCCTGATTGATGCTCTGCTGTCACTGGGTCTATACAGCTCCCCCTGCACCCCCCTGTCTTCAGAAAGGAGCTCAGAAAATAGGCATTAATTAACAAAATTATGCTATCACAGGAAAGAACAGGAAGCTTCTAGTAATGAGCCATTTAGCTCCGAAGGGTTTCAGTCAGACATGTCAAACCAGCTCACAGAGCACGTCAACAGCCACCACCAACAAGCAAAGCCAGCTGAAAAACAAGCAGTGAAGACCCTCAATTTGTTGCAACAGAAGGGCAGCTTGATGTAACTCCCATAAATGCAGGCTGGTTCTTGCCAATAACAACCTGTTACCACCGAGGACACAGAGCAAACGCTCACATATTTATCCACCACCCTGAACAAGCCACAGGTCGTGTTCTTCCCAGTTGTCACAGGCAAAGCTGAGCCACCATGTTGCCCCTACTCTACCCAAGAGCAAAGGACGCTGCCCTGAGTCAGACCTGCTCAGGAACTGCAGTTTCTTGCTCTCAGCTCCTTCCCTCCATCAGCAGTGGTACCTCCACAACCGCACAGTGAGTCAGAGCAAGAGCTGAGCTGGTTGAAAATTACGCCTGTATTTTTGGGATGAGCTCAGTTCTCAGCTTGCTGAGCTCCCTGAGCTGCCTCAGCATGTACAGTGCAAGGATGAGAGCAAAGGGGACACTGGGGGGGTGTGACCATGAAACCACAGCCTGCAGCTCTGCCTTCGCTGAGCTTCCACTGCATCCCGCCCGCCCTCCCACACAGGACAACCACTCCACGCAAATCCCAGGAAACAGAGGGTCATTCACACTGAGATGGAGCTCCAAAGCCCTCTGCTACAACCCCTCTGCTCCAAATGGGGCTTTGAAGTCAGACCAGTCACTCAAGACCTTGCCCAGTCCAGTTCTGTGTCTCTCTGATGACACAGATCCCTGGGCAGCCACATCTCACCACATACCATTTGAAAAAAATCTCCTTTTTTTTTAGCTCATGGAACCCTTGACCTACAGAAACCCAAGTTTCCTACTCTGCCCTCCCAGGACTGTCACCCACAGCAAACCCACTCTGACCTTGGAGGATGCTCTGATACCTGAGCAAAAGCAAATCAACTCCAAGCACACTCGGCTGGAGCCTCAGAGCTCACATTAAAGCCATTTAACCTTGTAGGTGCTTTCAATCCTGGTGATACTCCATAAAATACAACCAAAACATCATTTTTTTTATGTGCTATAACAAGGTTTCTCCTAAAAATCTTACCTTATTGGAATAAATGCTGTGTTGAACACCAGGTCCACTTGCTAAACAGCAACCTTAGAAAGCAAGGTATGGCCAAAAAAGCCAGCATTTAAAATCTTGTATATTTTATAAATCAAAAGCAACCATGCATTCTGGAGAGCTTGTTTACATGTAAATCAAGAAATCTTAAGGAGGAAGTTGGACATAAATACAGGTAGTGAAACAACAGAGAAGGGGCCACTTCAGAGCAAAACTGGTCATCAAACTAAATCCAGGCCACAACATCCTCAGTTATTTAGAGCACAGACTTGTCTCAAACACAAATTTAAACTACATTTGGGTTGAGCTATCAAAGAATATAAAAATATAAGTTCTCCTTCTTGCAATAACTTTCGTAGGCAGTACAGGACTTTAAGGGAAGACAACTAAAAGCCACACTGAAATACAGAATTCCTGTCATTTGCCTGGATGCTATTTTTTCAACATGTAATGTGAGGTGTATATTCAGGCTAATCAAGGTTATTTCTATTTCAACATACTTATATATAAAGTGCATTAGGTAATTTTTTAAAATATCCTTCTTACACAGAAGCCATTAATGAAAGTGTATCATCTTCACACTTATTTTAAGCCTTTCTCTTCTGCTATAATAGTTCAACAGCTCTTGCTTTAACCAACACAGGTGGTTTTTTTCACTCTAATATTAGTGCTGGAGACACCAAACTGGATCACTTGGTCTCCTCTCCTGCTGGGTTCTTGTTGAATAAAAATTCAACAGTGGGAAAAAGGAGTTCAATCTGTGACCTGCCTTACTCACCTCAGGGTGAGTAACCTACTACGAGTTCTAACTGCAGAGCCCAACCATTCTGGGACGTGTTTTCCCCACAAAAATTGTGCCTCCCTCCTTGGCCTGACTAATGCCTCCTATCACCTGTGTATGGAGGACTGGAATAAATTCATCTTCATAACTCTGAGCTCTGTTTCACCATTTCCATTCACTGAAACACAGGGAACTGGATTCCACCTTCCAGTGCCTGAAGGGATCCTACAGAGAGGTGGAGAGAGACTATTGCCAGGGGCCTGGAGTGACAGGACAAAGGGAATGGCTTCCCACTGACAGGGAGAAGGTTTACATTGGATATTAGGACGAAATCCTTCCCTGGGAGGGTGGGAGGCCCTGGCACAGGGTGCCCAGAGAAGCTGTGGCTGCCCCATCCCTGGAAGTGTCCAAGGCCATGTTGGAAGGAGCTTGGAGCAACCTGGGCTAGTGGTCTGGGATTCCCTAACAACATTCCATGACATCTGCAATCCCAGCAGGAGGAAGCCCATTGTATTTTGAGTCTGCTGAGTAACAGCCATGAGGTGACACAGCTCTACTGTTGATCCAGCCTGTGCTTTAGGAACAAAAAGCCAAGTCCTCCTTTATCCTTTCCTACTTCCGATGAAGGATATAATCCAAGGAGAAACCTGTTTGGGAGGTGAACTTTTCAGGACATTAACTTCTACCCAGAGAGCAGTCTAGGAACACAAATAAATCCTGGCTGCCACCACACTTCAGCACTGCAGCAAACAAACCAAAACACCTCACCCAAGTTTTAGCACCTGAGCAAGACAGACTGGACCAAAGAGAACAGTTCAGCAAGATTAACTTTTCTTTCAGAAAACTTTAGGACATCCTTACTTATCTCTGCCATTAGGTGTCATGTTTCCAGCAGCAGAAGTTTTTTAAAGTGCAAACACAAAATGTCTAAGTGAAATTTCATCCCTGGGATTTATTAGCAGCCTTTTAAGAAGATGCTTCCATTACTGTTCTGTTTAATTTCCCAGTAACTATTGAATGGAAGAGTAAAAGCAAATCAATAACTATTTCAGAGCACAGCATAAAATGAATTCAGGCTGTACTTTAACCACCATCCTCACTACCTCTTCAAAAGACTAACCCAAAACCCACCCCAAATCAAGGCCAAAAAAAAATCCAAATACAACCCCAGGACTTGACTGAGTTTTAGAAGTTGTGCCTCTCTTGAATCTGCTTCTGCAGAATTAAATACACAAGGTTACAATCTGACTGATGTTCAACATTAATATGGTTCTTCAGAAAGTAAAACAAAGTGATAAAAAAGGAAGTCTCCCATCTTATCCTAAAAACCCAAAGTCTTCATCAGGATCCACAGCCAGAGCCAGCCGAGCTGATTTCTGAAGGCTTGAAAGTAACACCAGACCAAGGACAATTCTGAATTTCAAACAACTACAAGTAAAAAACATTTCAAATATAAAGACTGAAGATTAGAACTTGCATTATGTTCAAAAGAGCCACTTCCTTTTATTCCAGGAAAACAGATAACACGTTCCTGCTCTCGGAATATTAACATTCCTCTTCAGGATGATTTTTTGAAGCCTGTGAAGTTGCACAGAAGCAATCTGTTCCCTAAATGCTAAGCACAAGTTCAAAGTGCCCCTGAGTACACTGTGCACGTGCACAGCACAAGGAAAAACACTGCAATACACAGCACAAACAAAGTCTCGAGTTGTTTATGCCCAAGACGATGATTCAATACACAATTAAAACTTTTATGTTCGAGTAGGTCCACATGTTACACTCCTGCTATTTAATTACTTTTCAGGGTTTTTTTTTTTAAGAACAGCCCTCAGACTGGATGAACAGCCACGAAACGCCATCACTAATAACCTATGTCTGTATATTTGCAGCTTATGGTTTCAAATATAAACTGTTTTGCTACGCTGTGTAAACACGAGTCTCCAAATAAAAGCATTAACGTGTCACCGGACTTATGCTGCGCTGGTAATTCAGCCCTTTTGGCACACAGATCCTCTCAGAACCTCCAGCAAAGCTACTTACCCTCAAAAGGGCCACGCCAGAGCCGGGACACGTGATGGTAGACACTGCTCAGCTCCCTGCGAGCCCTCAGAGTGACAACTCTGCGCTCTGACACCGCCGGGCCTCCAAACGTCACCGTGGTCCCTTCACCAGCCCCCTACACCCCTCTGGGCGCCTCACACCTTCCCAGAGGCTGTAAGAAATCTGTTTTTAAGGCTAACTCGACGCGTGTGGACGATCTGGCCGCACACAGACCCGGCGTGGCGAACGCCACGCACGAAAACAGGATTATTTTTAGCAGCGAGCGCGGCGCTTCCTGCCGGCTCCACCTTGGAGAACGCCGCGCACACGCTGTCACCCTCCTGCTCCAAAACCGGGATTTCACAACTTCTGCTACCTGCCACAACACAGGGAGGGAAGGGACAATCTGCCGAGAGCTCCGAGTGACGATTTCCCAGTTTCCAACTTGGCACGAAGAGCCGCTGTTGGAATATGCTGCCGGTCTTCGCTGGCGTCAATAAATCGATGCCTCTTTTCCTGCCGCGGCGATGAACAGAACGTTAAATGTTTTTATTTATTACGCCGATTTTTTTTTTTTCCCCCCATAGCAACAGGATGTGAACACGGCATTCCCGGCGTGATGAAGTCACTATAGCAACGTGATAATGATGTCAGAATAATCAGCCAGCATTTCATACTTGGTGAGATGCATCGCTTCCACGAACTCAAAAAGTTGCTTCTATGAATGCAAAAGTAAGAATGTGGCATCTGGAACTTCCCTTCAAGTTGGCTGATTTTGGATAACTTGTCGTTGAAGGCACAGAGCTCTGCTAATGCACCACTTTCGGTTTCTCCAAGCTCCATCCGTTACTTCCTGAAAGCCTCACAAATTCCCCACATTAAAACCCTGTTTTAATGCTGCTACACCAGTGGGAGTTACTGACACACCACTCCAGCAAGAAAAAAGCAACGACACGAATCCCAGCAGTGACACATTTCACGGCAGACAGGCACTGTCAACTGAGCAGCCGCTTCCCTCAACTCAACTCTTCAAATAATCTGGTGTCTCTTTACGTGGAGCAAAACAGCTACTCAGAGAGAATCACAACAGCCACAGAAATGACAGAGTGCTGATACAATACTCCAAAGGCAGACAGGCGTTTTCAAGTCAAACAACTATTTTAAGAAATATTATCTCCCCTGTTAAGCTACCAAAAGGAAAAAAAAAAAAAACCCAACCCAGAGTATTCATGATTTGCCCTTCCTGTTTGCAGCTCCTTCCAACCAGTGAGCAAAGCAAAACCCAGGCGCTGATTCCAGCTCCGTGTTGGTCAAAATCGGTGTGTCCAAACCCCAACCCTCCTGCTGAGAAAGCTTTGCAGGAATCCTCGCACCAAAACCACACGTACTGCACCTCAAATATCGCAACCAAAGGCACCAATTAATGAGAAGTATCTAAAACACCGAAGTTTCCCTAAGCAGAGAACAGTTTCTCTTTAAAGCGACCGAAGGAAGTGCAAAGAAACCTTTCTGGAGCTGATGTGGTCTGAGACAACTGGTCCTTGGGCTGGGAGGACGAGGGTGGGCCAGGATGATGAGGCTGGGTCAGGAGGATGAGAATGGACCCAGAGGATGAGGATGGACCAACACATCACTCCACATGGCTCACGAGGGGCTGCCCCCTTGGCTTGTCCCACCTGCCCAAAACCTCCTGCCGTCCATCCAGGGTGGAGAAGCGAGGGGGCTGGTGAAGCCTCTCCCTTGTCCTGCTATCCCCCTGTCCCTTGTCCTGCCATCCCCCTGTCCTCGTCCTGCCATCCCCCTGTCTCAGCCCACCCTGGGTACCCTCCATCCTCTCTTCCCCTTTACCTCCGGTGGTCCCGGGGGCCGGTACCGCACAGTCCCCCCGGACACGCCGGGGTGCAGCGAGCCCGGGACGCCCCGCACACACCTGACTGCCCCGAACGCCACGGCAATCCCGGTCATTTCTCCCGAGGCTCGCCCAGGGCCAGCCACCCCCGC